CAGTTTCTCTGACTTTCAAGTTTGGTTCACAACAAACGGTGTGCAGCATATTATTCCATTGTACTACGACTTTTATCTCGAATTGTCTTTCATATATAACTACGGAGAAGTGCTGAAAAAGTACTGAAAAATAATGTTTAGGTGAAGAGGTGAGATTTCACCCGTTTTCTCACCTGTTTTCTCACCTGTTGAATTTTCATGAATTTTGTGCTGAATTCGACAAAAATGAGTTTTTGGTTGAAAAAAGAGGTGGAGCCAAAAGTGGCTCGACCTCAAAACAAGCATTTTGTGAAGAATATACCAACCCGCGGAAAACAGCGGGTTGCTTTTTATACAAAATTCAACAGGTGAATTTTCATGAATTTCCTTAAGATAGAAAAAAATATATTTTAGGCGACCAGGTCACTCGGTCAACTAACATCTTTTTGAAAAAGTGTGACAACATGACATTTTGACAACAACACAGGAAATAGATTTCATCGTATATTTTTTGTTAAGACTTCATCGTAAATGTTTTGTTGAGACTTCATCGTATATGTTTTGTCGAGATTTTTATCGTTGTGGTCCGACGGTTAAGCCATAAACGAATGTCCGACGTCCCACCAAAAAATATTTTTTTATTTTTATTGTACGTACTGAAATGACAGTCGAAGCAAAAACGTTCACGAACAAATCTAATGGCGAAACATTCACAAAAGGCACTTACAACGGTATTGAAGTCTTACGTAGAGACAAGGATGGTTATATAAATGCAACAAAGATGTGTCAGCAGTTTAGGAAAGACTTTAGAAGGTTGTTGGAAAATAAGTCCTGGGAAGAGTATTTTAAGGCATTTTGTGAAGAATATACCACCCCGCGGAAAACGGCGGGTTGCTTTTTATACAAAGTTCATGCAGGAATTCCTGATGAAATCAAACAGGTTAGAGGAACGTATGTAGACCCAAGACTCGTAAACTATATAGCAATGTGGGCTTCTCCAAAATATTGCATAGCAGTTGGAAAAATTATGGACTCCATAGACAAGAAAGTTCATGAGAAATTAGATGAAGAAGAACTTGAAGATACAGTAGAGAATGCAAAACCTTTGTTTGAAGAAGAAGTTAGAAAAATGCATGAAAAACAAATAGAACATGAACGTGAGATATGTTCTGGTTATAGAGATTCTCCATACGAACTAGACCAATGGGAACAAGAAGATTTAAAGAGAGAATTTAGAGAATATGAACTCGCTAAGATAGCATTAGAAGCTGCAGAAGAGAGGTTAAAAGCTTGGGGTTGTTTTGTACAAAAATATTGTGAGTAAATGAACCATTTTTTTTCGACAAAAATAATGTTTATGTTAGAATGTTAGATCTAACATGTTTTCTAACATGTTTTTTCACCCGTTGGATTTTCATGAATTTCATCGTAAATGTTTTGTCGAAACTTCTTCGTTTATGTTTTGTCGAAACTTCTTCGTTTATGTTTTGTCGAAACTTCTTCGTTTATGTTTTGTCGAAACTTCTTCGTTTATGTTTTGTCAAGACTTCTTCGTAAATGTTTTGTCGAAACTTCTTCGTTTATGTTTTGTCGAAACTTCTTCATCGTAAATGTTTTGTTAAGACTTCTTCTTCGTAAATGTTTTGTTAAGACTTCTTCTTCGTAATGAGCGTAAAAGACCCAAAAATAATGTTTAGGTGAAGAGGTGACATCTCACCCGTTTTCTCACCTCTTTTCTAACATCGTAGAAAACTCTCGAAATTCATGAATTTTGACACTTTCACAAAAAACATAAAAAATAAAGTTAGTTTTTTTAAAAAAATATTTTTTTATTTTTATTGTAAGAACATGTTAGCAACAACAGCACCAAACTCTTTAGTCATGAATCCAACATCTATGTTAGTAGAGATGAAAAGCTTCATTCCTTCTTCATATACTTTCGAAACAGAAATCCAGAAGATAAAGCAAGAACTTTTAACAAATAATTTAGACTGTAGTGCGAAAGATGAAACAAATGAACAGTATCTTTACGACATGCAGGACCTCATCGACCATCTACCCAAACTTCCTGAAATCCAACAACAAAAGCTTACTATTCCCGAATTCGATGAAATAGAAGTCAGACTGACTGACTCAGTAGAAATAAAGAAGTTCATACGAAAGGTAAATTATGAGTTTCTAGGATTTCATTGCAACCATAAGGTTATGGACAAAGATTGCGACATGTTATATAAGAACATCTCTGACATATATAAATCTGGGGAGTTTAAGACCTACGACAACTTTGTTTCGTTAGTTGCAAAATGTGTATGGCAGATAAGAGATAAAGATAGAAGAGGTAAAGTATGGAACGAACAGATAAAACCTGCATGTTTTGAGTTAAAGAAAACCATTGACGCTTTAGTTGTTCTAGCAGGTAAGGTTTCAGAATATAACGCAAAAATGAACCCGCAATGTTCAAAATGTAAAGCAGCAATGAGGAAATATAACTACTCCGTCAAAGAGATAGAACGTATGCGAAACGACTATGCAGATTTAAAGAAAGAAGCAGAAAAACCAGCAGAAGATAAAATGAACATGTTGACATTTCTGAACAAAAACTATCCAACAGCAGAAGATTTCCTATTATCTGATGTCAAGAAGAAGTATAAAGAAACTTTCGGTATCGTTAAAACATTCGATGTACTAAAAGAAGAAATAGAAGCTACGAAATTGTTCAGGATTTCAAATATACATCGTACAATTCATGTAAAACGCTTATAAAATAACAGGTGAGAAAAGAGGTGAAAAAACAGGTGAAATCTCACCTCTTCACCTAAACATTATTTTTTGCTGAATTCTGAGTAAAATGACCAAATTTCATTATATAACTGTTATGAGTGACGAAGAGAACTTTGACACTTCGTAAAAAAAATCCCTGAAATCATATCTTTTATACAAAATTCAAGAGGTGAGAAAAGAGGTGAGAAAACAGGTGAAATCTCACCTCTTCACCTAAACATTATTTTTATTGAATTCCGTATGAAATTTCATGAGTTTTGTATGTTTTAGACCATGTTAGAAAACATGTTAGAAAACATGTTAGATCTAACATTCTAACATAAACATTATTTTTATTGAATTCCGTATGAAATTTCATGAGTTTTGTGTGTTTTAGACCATGTTAGAAAAGAGGTGAGAAAACAGGTTAGATCTAACATTCTACCCTAAAATATATTTTTGCTGAATTCAGCACAAAAATCTGAGTAAAATGGCATATGTTTGCTTACCTCGGAAAAACCGAGAGAAGAGATTCCGTACGAAAACAGTGAAATTTCTCTAGACCGACTTCCTTCGGTCTTGCATAAAACTCTATGAAAATCATGAAGAACAGCGAGTAGGTAAGAAATCCTGGTCGCCTAAAACTCTATGAAAATCATGAATTTCCTTAAGATAGAAAATAACGCTAATTTTATTTTTTTTATTTTTTTATTTTGTATGTAAAGACAGATATGTCAACAACAGAGAACACAACAACAGTTATAGTCCATGAAGCCATAAATGAAGAATATGAGTGGGTTCAGTTTAACAAACAACTCCGTCTCATTCGTTCGGTCAAAGACGATATGTACCAAATGCAAAGTATTTTGAATACTCTTCGTTCTACAAAGCAAGCACGTCATTGGTTTGAAAACCAACAGACAAAAGAACTTTTAGAAGAATTTCCTCATATGTTTGCGAGTGGTAGAAAACCGCGGGTCGAGATTCCGTACGAAAATCGTGAAAATTTGCCAAACGGTTTAAGAGGTTGGTATGTACATAGACTTCTTGTAAATGCTGTTGCAATGTGGGCTTCACCTCGTTACGCTTGTTATATTTTCATGATGTTAGACGAAATTCATAGACAAGAACGTGAAGAGCTAGAGAACAAGCTTGAAGCAAAAGACAAAAACATACAGAAAAGAATACCACGTTCGGTACCAAAAGGAAAGGAAAAGAACTATAAGTATATGATTTATACTGAAGAGATGGAAAATGAAGAAGACAGTGACATGGTTATGTTGCATTTAGTCAGAAGAAACAACAAGAGCTTTTACGACCTTGCTAAGATTTACAAATCTGACAGAAATTGGTTCTATCGCGAAAACTTACCGATTTCAATGACTCCAAATGAAGATGTGAAACAAATAGTTCAAGATACGTTACCTCAAACACACTATGATATGAAAGGTTGTACAATTCTTACCTTCAAAGAAGATTTGCCATTGTTAAAGGAAAAAATAACAGAGTATTTTGACAACTTCAAACAAGTAGGGTAGATGAACCATTTATTTTTTACGCTTGACACCAAAGATGGCTCAGGTAGCTCTATAAAGTAAATTGCCTTGTCAAATCCTTCTGGCATTCCGAGTCCTTCCTTCCGACATTCCAAGTTCTTCCTTCCGACAGAAAAAGTTTTTCCATCCGACAAGAAAAAATTTTCCCGACAACTGGAAAAAATTTTCCTGTTGTCCGTCCGTAAACCATTCAAATTTTCGAAAATTGAGAACTTTTTTCCCGACAACTGGAAAAATTTTTCCCGACAACTGGAAAAAAATTTCCCGACAACTGGAAAAAAATTTCTTGACAACTGGAAGAACTCTTCCTTCCGACAGGACACAAACGGATGGCTGACGTTCCTCTTCCTGAATGTCTTCCAAAGCCAGAAGAACCGACAGCCCCAGCACCACAACAGACTAAGACTAAACACTTACATTTTTCAAGCTTGACTTTTTACAATTTGAACTTTGTTCGCGTAGATGTGAATTCTGAAAGAAGTATGAGGGTCTTGTATGACTTTGTACTTCTCCCATAGTTCATGTCTGTCAAACTTACCTGCCATGGACTCTTTCATAAGTTCCATGAAATCGTCTTCGGACAATCCGGGGAAAAGTATAATATCAGTAAGTATTCTTTTAACATCCTTACTTAAACTCTTTGCTGTCTGTACACAAATGACAACTGAGATGTTAAAGTGTCTGAGCTTCTTAAGAATTCGACACATGTCTTGTTCTCTATTCTTTAACAAAGGATGAGAAGCAAAGTCATCTAAGATAAGAAGACATCTGTGAGGGTAAGTCTTCCAATCGTAAGATTGCAATTTCTTCGAAATGTATTCTATCTCTTTCTGTTTGTTTCTGAAGTGTTTCTTCTCTAATATTCTCTGCATTTCCTCATTTGGGTCTTTAAACTTAGAATTGACATACTCATTTATAGCATTGTACTTCAAAACTCTTCTTTGGTACTTCTTTATCCAATCTAACAACTCAGTATCCTTTATACATACTAACTTAGACTTCTTTATAATATCTTTGAACGAATTGACGGTTTGATCGAATTGACCAGAAGTACTACAAATAACAACTAACTCATAAAATGGGCTCTTCTCATCTAGTTCTTGTTGTTGTGCAGCCATTTTAAGATAAGTGAAAGTCTTACCCGACCCAGGTGGTGCGATTAGACCTGTTATACCATTCTGAGCAAATAAGAACTTGTCATGTATAGGCTTTATCTGAGCATTTTCTAACTTCCTCTTGTTCTTGTTTAAAACATTCTCAAATTTCTTGTCAATGTCAGCAAACTTTTTTTCTAACATATTTTTAGAAAAATTAAAAATTTTATCTTTTAGGAAATGTCTAGCGATTTCGCTATCTATATTCGAGACAAGCTTTTCGACAGCAAAACATCTGTCGACCATAAAATCTTACATAGTGTAAACAAGAAAGGGGAATTTGTTCTAAAGTTCTGTTTCTGGGAATATGACAAGAACCATAAAACATTAAGCAGAGCAGTCTTAAAATTTGTCAATGACAGACTTGTTGACAGAGATGACGCCGATTGGAGAGATGAAGTCCAACAAAAGTTCTTAGAATGCAAAGAAGACACATGCGCTGTTCTTGAAGATGAAATAGGAAACAGAATAGAAGAGCTATTAAAGGACAAAGAACTTTTACAGAAATATGGTTCTGAGAAATTTGACATAACTCCACCAGAGAAGAAGAAGAGAGAAAAGAAAGAAAAGAAAGTAGAAGAAGAGAAGAAAGAACCTGAACCAGTTCCAGAGAAGGGGAGATATGACATGTAAAAATAAACTTTTATTTTTAGAACATTTCTGGGTCAATGTCAATGTTCTCTTCCTCTTTAGGAGCAAACACTGGCTTAGACTCTAAAATCTTTTTACCTAATTTACCTTGAACTTCAACTATCTTAGACTCATAATATTCATAGTCGTCTGCTTTCTTTGGTTCATAAGGTATAACAAGTTTGTATGCTTTGCCTTCTTTAAGGTTTGAAAACCTTCTGTCAAAATTTTCTTTGACTGCTAACAAACCTTCTATGTCTAAGTCTTCAAATTTCGCACCATTTTTAGTCACAATAGCAAACTTAACAGGTTCGATGTTCCAAACTTTGTCATATGTAGACTTTTCAAAATGGTAGAAGTAAACATTCAAATAAGCGAATGGGTCTAGTTCTTCTTTAAGTCCTGACATGTACTTGTTGACTGAGATGAATTTCATCATCTTTTCTATCGGATAAAAAAATATTTTTTTTAAAATTTACTCATAAAAATTTTTCTTTGTATATACGCCGTTCTGAACATCTAAAAGACTTTTGACATTTGCCAAGAATGTACGTTTAGAAGCTGCCATATAACCATACTCTTGACAATATTGTTTATATGAATCGTACAATGACCTTTCATCTAAACACTCAAAGTTAGTCTCATCTATAAACAGTTCATAAACACTCTTGTTTGCTTCTAACAATGTTTGTCTCTCTTCGGTATGTGGAATTTGTCTTGGATTGAACTTTGAAATATCTAATGTCATGAAATATGAGAACAAGTGGTTGTAAAAGTCAGATGTCAAAGTTTCTGCTAAGTCGTCAAAATATTCTGTATCTTGCATATGAGAATCTGACGTTCTGACAACTACATATCTTCTGTCAGAACTTTCTAACTTCATCGGAACAACATTGTTTGAAACCATGACGAAGTTTGCAACATTTTCACAAACTCTTTGGTCTTTATATTTTCTTTCAACAACTCCAACTTTATCTGTTATAAGACTCTTCAAAGCATCTGAGTTTAAAACCTTTGTTGTATCTATACTTTGAAGTTCGTTACATACTATAAGTTTCATATTCTCTATTGAAGAGTTAAATTTACCGCAGATGTTTTCTAAGTTTGTCATATTCGGGTTCGAATAGCCCTCTAACAGTTTGCACAAAATATCTGTAAAGAAAGTATTCTTACCAGTTCCTTGTTTTCCAATTATAATGAGAGCAGTTTCATTTTTAGCACTTGGATATTGTAAGATGTTTGCAAACCAACATAAGATATACTCATAGACTCTTTCGTTTCCATTGCATATAATTTCTTTGACATGGTCTAACCAAGCTTCTATAATATTTTCTTTCCATTCTACTTGTTCATATTTATATCCAGTGAAGATAGAATAGAATTTTGGAGATGGTGTATAGAACTTTATACCACGAACTGAAAAATCTTCTAACTTTGACAATAAGATATCCCAAGCATCTAACATCTTCATTCCAACTTGTATAACTTTTATTTTCTTAAGTTTCTGTCTACATTCTTGTTCAGACACTATTGTTGCTCTTGGTTTGTTAAAGACAACATCCCATTCTTTCATAACATAACATTCTGGGGCAGAGTCGACATAAATGACTAAACGTTTCAAATTCTCGACTGCTTTGTTATAGTCTCGAAATGGACACATATTTCTGAATGCTTGGAAGTCATAAAAATCTGAAACATCTATTCTGTACATTTTTATAAAAAATAAAAAAAATATTTTTTTTTATTCTTGAGCTATTTGTTGCATTTGTTGTTCTTGAGCTATTTGTTGTTGAAGTTGTTCTTGTAGTACAATACTTTCACCAGTTGCATCTTCCAATTCGAAACTTTCTGCCGTCATTGACAAATACATAGGACATAAAAGTTTTACAGGAACAAAGTTTGCGTCGACTAAGGTTAAGTTTATGTTTGCTAAAGTGTTTGAGTTCACTAAAGCTGAAAACTCTGCATTCGAATGAACAATAGGCAAACCAGCAGAGAAAGTATTGTTTATACGCATAAGTATCTTTTGGTCATAATAGTTTCTGTCAACATTCGAATAGCACTTTGAACCTAAGTTTGAAACAATATATAAAATAGGTGTACTTAAAGTCAATGGAACGGATAGACCTTGTATGACACCTTTTCCTGTTATAGGAAACTGTTGGTAGTAAAAACCAGATATAAGTTTTGTATTATAGCTCATATCGTTTATACTAAACTCAGTCGGACATCCAAACATAATGAAACCTGCTCTAGTTGCAGCACATGTTACATCCGTCCTTAAAGTATTAAATAAGTCAACAAAACCTGTTGGTGGTATATCTGAGTAAGTATCTTCAAAGAAGTATTTTTTACCATTCACAACAACAAAGTCTTCTGGTGTCAAAAGAGCAAAACAGGCTTTAGTCGTCATCGTGTTTAAGGTCAGTTTACAATATCGTCCTTGAGGACTTTGTAAGTTTGTTGTTATAGAATTATATGACTCAGGGTTTTTAGTCGTAATAGTATAAACCATTATATCTTCTGCCATTTACTTAGCAAATAAATTTTAATGAAATGTTGTGGTCGTCAAATATTTTTATGACGTCTGGGAAACTATACTTTAAGTTCAACGTTTCACCTCCTTTCATAACGTATATCTTGTCAATGACATTATATGAAACACCACAGCAAGCAATGTCGGGCTCTATTTCTTTGATGTTTTATCGTCTGCCTCTGTCAAAAGTTTCAATAGTTCTTTCAAAACTTCACGAGGTGCGATGACATATGAGTTCACTTTTACAGGGTTGTGTTCGACCAAGTTTAACATTATACCCAAAGCTTGACAAATCTTCTCCTGAGTTTTAAGTTTGTCTTTAAGTTGTTGGTAGTCATTTCGAATATCTGCAACAGAACTTAAGTCTCTGCTAACTTCAGGGTATGTTGGTTGTTCTTTTACAGGAACTATTGTTATACCATCTTCGTCTTCGTATGGTTTCCCCACTTCAACATCTCTTTCTTTGACATTGACAACAACACTTTGACTGTTTGTTTGAGTTGGTGAATTTAACTTCACATCTGCCACCGCCATTAAACCTTTTGAAACACTCACGCTTCTATTTTTCGGAAATGACATTTTACTTCAAATAAAAAGATGGACGTATTCGAGTATCTCTTCGAATTGAAGCAGAACAAAGTTTACACACACAAACAATACAAATACATTGACAGAATAGTTCTTTATACAAACAATGGAAAATGTTATAGAATAGCAATATTTGCTGAACCAAAATATTTTCATAAAGCAGAGAGAGTTGGTATAACTGAAATGGTGAAAGTTCTTGAAGCAGACAAAAATATAACAACAAAACTGACCGATATTTCTAAAGGTAAGTTTATAATACAATATTATGTTAAGACTGGCGTACTGTCAATATTTGACGGAGAGAAGTCAGTTCAAGAACAACTTACTGACCTGCTGCCAAAATCTGCTCGATGGAAGCTGTCGTTATGCCAATCTGAGGAGCCCCAGCAGGTTTCATCGAACGAATCTTCAAAAGAGCATCTTCCGTGAAAAGTGCTATTGGTTTTGTAAACTTCTTTGCTTTCAATTCATCTGGACCGTCTCTGTCACCAGTATATTGTATTTGAACTGTACCAACAGTTGAAATACCACCCATAAAGTCTTCTGAGTCAGCAAATGGAATGCCAAGCCAAAGTTTGAACGGTCTCCATTTGTATATTGAGTTTTTTGACCTCCTGTATGAGTCCATACTTTCACATATGGCATAATAGAACTTTGCATTTCAGGGTTAATGGTTGTTGTGAAGTTGTTGTTAAAGTTCATAGCATCTAATGTCAAGTTGTATGACCTCATATCCTCAACTGTAGAATATTCTTCTCTTGGATAGTATTTGCCATCTATGTTTATATGGTATTTAATACCAGGGTTGTAGAAGCAAGAATAGTCATTTATAGTTCGTCTGAACAGTACAAACATAGTATCTGCATGTTTCATTGCAGTTGTTAAGGCAATATCTGTTCTTGCACCTGGGTCAGCACTTTGGTTTCAACTTCACCTGCAAAGTCTTTGACAGATATTTGGTGTATAGGGAACATAAGTGGAACTGCAATATATTTGGCAGCTAAAGCATTTGAAATATCTGGGTCCAACATATAGACTGCAAGTCTGCTTTCTATTCTCTTGCATTCAAACTTTTCGCATGTAAACTTAACTGGGTCCCAAGCAGTTCCAGCAGCATTGAAATAATAGTTTACTTCAGTGTTGAGGTTTGAGAAACCAAAGTCTAAGTCAACTTTGTCTTTGCAAAAGTCACAGAACTTGGCTCCACCAGTTCCAGCTACAGCAATGCTGAATGGGTCTTGTGTTGGTGCAATGACTAAGTTATTTTTGCTTGGAGTAAGTTCGATAGAAATTTTTCCTGCCCAGTTTGGCAAGTATCTTAAAAACCTGAAGATGAGGAAAGATGACAAAGGAACTCTAAGTTTCAGTTTTACTTTAGTGACAGCATTTC